CCCTCAATTTCTTTCATGAGTATTTTATAGTTTTCTGAGTACAGATCCTTTGCCTCTTTGGTTAGATTTATTCCTAGGTATCTCATGGTTTTGGGTGCAATTGTAAATGGGATCGACTCCTTCATTTCTCTCTCTTCTGTCTTGTTGTTGGTGTATAGGAATGCCACTGATTTTTGTGCATTGAAAAAAAATGCACTCTATATTAAGCAGCTTCATTGTATGTTATGGAAGTTCATTCATTCATTCATTCATTCATTCATTCATGCTTGGATGTTTGGCTAGAGAATGTTTATTAAAATCTATTACTAAGTATATTTGAAAAATATTTTCAATTAGGATTAAGCTAATGATTTGTCAATAATTCATTTCTAATTTAACGATAAATCATATGCAAAGAGATAAAGTGACAAATGAATATTCCATTTATTTATTCAACAAATAGCTATTAAATTTTCTAAGTGGAAGGCACTGTTCTAGGCTGAATGGGTTCATTCTCCTTGTGAAGTTTGTATTCTAGTGGGAGAACACAACCAACAAGTAAGTAAGCAAATAATAAATAATTTCAGATGACGAAAAGTACTATACAGGAAATAAACAGGGTTATGGGATAACAGCTGTGTGGTGGCTATGATTCCACTTAATCAGCAATCAGAGGCCAAATCAGAGAGCTACTAATTATATTACATTTTTCTAAAATTAAGAGACAATTAAGTATTTAGAACAACTGACATAATGTGATACTACTAGCAATAAAAATTTCAGTGTGGAGGGGAAACAGCCTAGAATTAGTCAGAATACTCAAGGTTTACCCCAGTTCTACCCAACTTCCTTGGACCTCATTTCATCTCATTGGTAAAATGTGCATATCAATATATGTTGTAACTACATCACAGGATTCTTCTAAGAACAAAATTAAATTATGTATATGAAAATGCTCTGAGAAATGTAAAGTCCTGCACTACTGGTTCCCAACTCCTGGCTATGCAATAGATTCATCTATAGACTTAAACAAACAAACCAAAAATGCCCAGATTCCATCCACCAAGAATTTCTTACTCAGTGGATCAACTTAGGTATGAAACAAAACACATAAAGAGAGGTCAAGAGATGAATGATGAGAGAAAAGTTTTAAAAGAAAAGCCATGGTAAGAAGTTTGGACTCCAAGATAGGAGTGAGGTAGAGGTAGAACCATTGAAGGGTCTGAGTTAGGGAAATGACTCCATGAGACTGCAGCTTAGAAAAATCATCTGGAAGGAGTGTCCCAGCTGAATTGTTACCCTCCCCGATCCGGCAGCCAGATGCACGGCACCTATTGTAATAGGACTCATCCATAAAGAGAGTAAGTAAGCCACATTCCTAGGCTAAAAAGTCAAAAGCCATTATCCTGTATAAGACCAAAAACATATGATGTGGGGAAAACAAGTAACAGAATTTTGTTTTTGCCCTCTAGTCAAGGAGAGTGTCTCCAAGGAGGAGAGTATGAAGAAGGGGCAGTGAGATGCTGCAAAAGCCATGTCCTTTCATTTCCTTCTTTTCTACCTGCCCCTACACAAGGTATAGCAAAAGTAGAAGAGGACCAGAACCAACCACTATAATTTCCCATAACTCCTGAATAGTATGGGCGAAATGCCGTAACAGTCTAGTGGGCTCCATGTATGACACAAAAGTTAATGGGAAGAGAGGGCTGGTATATCTGTCATAATGTCACTGGCCACAACAAGGGAGTGTGTGCTAACATGCTCTTGTATGGGCTGCCCACTGGGGATTGAAGAAGGACAAGCTGTAACTCTGAGAATAAGAAGCATCAGGGAACTATCAAAGGAGTCAAGTCAGCATATTTCCAGATCTGACAGAAAAGGATGAATTGAGTGCATCAGAGGTGGACACCTGTATAGAACCCCATAGGTTTAGAATGCATTCAACTACAAGTAAGAGAACTTGTTTCACAGTGCCTTTAAAGCTAAAGGTTT